AGACAAGGATTTTATTCTATTGAGTAATTTAAAATATTAAGAAAAAACACAGATCTCGTAAAACAAAAGTTATTTTTTTTTATAAATGACTTAATAATCTAAGATTTTCTTGAATATTTAGCTCCTGGATGGTCCCTTTTAATTGTCCAGCAGTAATCTGCTAACATATTTGGGCTCCATTTGCCCTGGTACCGCTTTTCCATATTAGAAATGTCCTGATGGAACCTCTCACCGTGCTCGTCGCTGACAGCCCCTAAATTGTCAGGAGAAAAATCCAGGTGCGAGTCTAAAAAATGGATCTTAAGTGACATGTTGCAACCCAATGCTTGATATGCCAATAATAGCTCGCTAACCAACTTTCTGTAGCTGTCACTCTTGTGGTTACCCAAAAAATTTGAAACAACATTTTTAAAAGCCTTCCATGCAGATGTTTCTAAATCACTTAATTTTTCTTCAAATCTTGCATCTTTTATTAACTCCCTAATTTGAGGGCCAACAAAAATACCCTCTTTTATCTTTGCACCACTTATTTTAGGGAATTTTTCTTTTAGATACAAAAATCCACTCCCATTGCGATCCATTGCCTTCACAAATTTTTTTATTAATCCTAATTTGATATGCAATGGTGGTAGAAGCACATTATTTGGCTGTACAAGGGGTAAATACTTTACGTTTTTTTGCCCAGGCCATGTTTTTTTTATATAGTGATTAGTTCTGTCTCGGCTATCCCATTCACTTAAAAAGCTGCGAAACTTTGTATAACCCAGCTGAAGTCCAAGTAATAGTGCAACAACTTTAAGATCACCGCAGATTTTGAAGGAATATGTAGTGTAATTTATTTTTTCAAGTAAAAGTTTCATATTTTCATAGGTTTCTTTCATATTTGCAGCATGGGCCAGAGGTACAGACGGAAGCTTATTTCCATTATGCAATAACACTGCTTTTAGACTTGCTTTCGAAGAATCAATGAATAAACGCCACTGAGAGAGATCAAAATCTATGTCCAACATTTTTATAATCTCATTTATGTTATTGTAAAACACCAAATCTCCATCCTGAGAAAAATACGTTCTGAAGTGTTGATCACGGTTTCGAAAATAGCTAACTTTTGTATTATGATGTAGCAAATTCCATTCTTTTAGACGTGATCCTAATAGTTCTGACTGCTTTTTTGACAAATTTAAATCCCGAACCAAATCATTTAGGTCTCCTTGAGTTATCAAATGTGGCTCGTTTACAATTCCTTTTAACTCAAAGTCATCGTCCTCGTCAACACATTCACCAGAAGTGGACGGTTGTGAATTGTTCTCAACAGACGTAGTTGCAACTGGTATTAGTTCTGGCAATTCTTTACAATGAGAGACTGGTCTTATAGCCGAAGATAAGTTAGGGTAAATAACTGTGGTTTTTTTCTTGTAATTTATACCTTTTATGTCTGTGAGACAAAAATAGCAATCTGAAACGTGATCTCGCTGTTCAGTCCAAATCATGGGTACAGCAAACGGCATAGGTCGTGCACCTTTCTTCCAGTCAGTTAAATTTTTCACACACGTTATGCAACAGACATGAGGGGCCCAGGATTTGTCTTGATGGGCGACAAAAAAACCAAAACATTGGTGATAACACTCCAACACAAGATTCGTAAAATTTCGTCGTTGTTTTTTGAATGTTAGTTCTCCGCAGACATAACAAAAAGAGTTAGGATCATTATTACACTTCCTCGACATATTCACAGGGTTAATAAATCACAAAAAAGTGTTCAAATTCAACAACAAATATTTTTATAAGGATTTACTTGTAAGCGTTTCTGTTAATTTACTGCCGTAGTACTAGTTATGAGTATTACCGTATCACCCAATATGAGGCTAATAGACATATGACAGCTGTCATGTAATAATGAGGGTAGACTGATAAAACAAAATTAGCTGTCAAAGTTCGTGTGGCAAAACCAGTATTGACCAGTGTAATCAAATATACATAAGTATACAAAAAAAAAACTAAGGGCCAATTTCACCAACAACAGTCCGTTATTCTCCACCTATAGGGTAACAGACCGTCAGATTCAGCGAATGAGCTTCAAGTTCCAATCAACAAATTTTAGCAAGCAATAGCTATGAAATGTTGAAAACAAAATACTGTCAAAGTATGAGATGACAACTTGTCATTGAAACATCACCAGCTTATTGAATATTATGAAATTACATATAGTTCAGTCAAAATTTTAAGAAATGTTTAATTTTTGAATTAAATTCATGTTTTAATTACTATCGTTGATTTTTTATTCATGTTTATATTATTTTCTTCAATTGATATGTGATACTGGGTGTTTTTTCCTATAAACCTCTTGCAGATAGCCATTAAGCTCCTACTTGATGACAGGCTCTACCAAAAGATATTGCTCGTTTCCAAACATTCATTCATTTACTTGCCGTTCATCAGAACCATTATGGCACCTTAGATTGATATTCCCACAAAACCATTCAGGTTTTTTGATATCCATACATCCATAAAGTTGAACATTTTTCGTTGTTCAGGAGCTGAACAAACATCCACACTATATTCACAGCGATAAAGAAATTCCCAAATACCTGTATATCGTCGCCTTAGTAAGAAAACCGCGTAACTCCATTTTAGTAAATTTTACAGGAGAAGGAAAAAACGTTTTGTGAGAGTTACATCAGTGATAAAATATTTTTGAATTTTGCATAAATATAGAAAAACACATTAGATTTAACATTTCGGGTAAAAATATAGAAGTTATGTCATTGTAATGATTTAAAAAGGAGTTACGCTACTTTCTTATGAAAAATTGTAAAATAATTGGAGATACATGGTTTTCACAAAAAAAAATAAATACTAGGTAACTACATAAAACTTATTTTATATTAAACGGAATACGTATTTTAAATCCAGTAAAGAAATTCATAACGTTTAAACGAAAAAGTAATCTTACAAAAAAATCATAACGATTAAAAGAAAAAGTAACTTAAAAAAACCTATTCATACGGAAGTTCTTCATAAAATTGATGATAATCTTGTAGAAGTCCTGATTTCAGAATTTGGAGGTGCTCATATTTCTCCTTCTTAATTTTTCTGCGTTCTGTGTATAAAGATGGCAAATCGTCAAACTTGCACGGAACCATTTTTTTATTCATTCTTTGGTTTAATGTACACCAAGCATCTGTATGCCTTATCTTGAATTGGATTTCACTGTTTGGCAAGTACCTTAGAGTCTTTATGTCAGTGACAACGGGGTCGCCAGCGACCCTACCTGGACATATAGAAGTATAAAATTTTATAGTATCCATTTTCTTAAAGAATGAATGAGATATTTGACATTATATGGAGATGGACTTGATCTTGCCTTCTGGCAGTAGTAAGCATAATCAGCGGGAAGGTTTATTTTCCGATTTCTAATGTGTATTTCAATGGTTGCATGCACCGAGTCTACCTCCATCTGAGTATGACCTTTGAACAAATACTTTTGAATCAACACGATATTATGCTGTGCAGCTAAGTTTACAAATACGTTAGCCAATGTTGAGTTGCGGTTTTGACCCGTGCAACCATCACAAAAAAAATCATTTCACGTAAACCTTCATTCTTTCTTATCTCTTGTTCAACAAAAACAGAAATTATGCTGGAAAATTCGTTTGCAGTCAAGGCCCCTTCGCTTTCATTCCACAGGCAACAAAATCCTTCTTTGGATTTCAGGTGATAAATAGTGAAGTTGTGTACTACCAGTTTGGTTTTGTAGTACATTGCAGCGACTGTCGATTTGGAAGCTAACGACACGCTTTGTAAATCCATTGGATACACGTTTACTGTAACATCGCTGGTAGATTTGTCTTTTTCCTTTTCTTGACGTGCCTCTAGCTTTGAAGTTTGGTGTAGGTTATACTTATCTTCAGATAAGTTCTTCGTTTTCTATGCCTCGCACACGTCGCACAGATCTTTTTTGGGTTCAGCTCTTCAAATATCTTCATGAACGCTGCTATGGATGGAGGCTCTAGATTACGTTCGCCGCAATATTCACTTTTGAAAAAATTATAGAGTGCTACATTTGAACCCCAAAGTGGCTCAAGATATAATTTTTTCGAGGAAGATCTACAATAATGGCTTTCCATTTTTGGTAAGGATTGTAAAAACTGATACACAGCCGTATTTTTTTCCGCAAATTTCGCCCTTCTTGTTTCACTTTTTCTGCTTCCCTGGTGGTCATCAGGCTCGCTATTAAATTCTTTTATCCAAGACAATATCAGTGTTTCTTTTAAACCTAGTGTACTACCAAACATCCGCTTACACACTCTAATTCTTTCCAAATCCACTTGTAAAAAATATTTCATAGAATACTTTCTTTTAGACACTTCAAGTTCTCCTCTCCTTCTTTTAACATTGTCGCAATGCACTAGAGCCTGTACCTGCAATTTTCTTTCATTCCAAGTCAGTGTATTCCAAAACTTTTGGAAAATTTTTAAACGGTCATTTTTTGACACTGAATTGCAGATTTTTGACTACTAAGAGAACAGATGCACGGATTATCCAAGAACTTCCCTAAAACAAAAAAAAATATTTTTTTATGTTTTTTGTTGCATAACACTATGTACATACCTGGTTTGTTAATGTTGTAATTCCATGTACCGGTAATTTCTGTTTTATCTTGGTAAGGCTGACCTCTTAAACGTTAATATTCATTGATATTGTAGTTCCATGATTCAGACAATATTCTCTTCACTTCGAGTTCTTGTAGTATTTAGGCTGGTATCGGGATCGTTTCTTTCTTCGTTGTAATTGGAATTATCTTCATTGGCAGAGTTACTACTATCAGAATCGTTTTCCTCAGGAATGTAAGAAACATCCAAGTCATCGGCGGCGCCGTCGTCGTGTTCAGAAGAAGTATTCGTGATAGTATTATTGGTGTTATCTTCGTCTTGCTCCGTTCCTAGAATCTCTGGATTGTCCAGTTCATTGTTCATGCTAATGGCATCATTTAAATCTGTCTACAAGTCAAAATCGGTCAAAATACTAGGATCTTTCAAGCCTGCCGGCACTTCTAAATGGTTAAAACTGGTCGAGTTATCATTGTTTATGCTAGCAGAATCGTTTAAGTCTACCGGAAATTCTATATGATCAAAACTGTTTACAATCTTCGGTGGTGGAACCTCATTACTATTTACAAGAGTTCCATTTATTTTACTAGATGGTTGTGCGTGAATAGGAGACAAAATTCCATCTTTTCCAACCTCGTATTCAACAATATCCACACAAGAATGGCTTGCTTGTTGGTTACTCAACTTCATTATAAGTTTTGTGCGAGACGACATCCTAAAATTAAAAGTAACTAATGTAACTATGTATCGTTTTTGTTCTGAGACGTTATTTCTAATTTAACCGACTTTTTGTAACAAATTTACTCATCAGACTTTAAATTAAAAAATAACTAGGATTAAGAAGTTATACGAAAAAAGAACGGAAAAACGCGTAAGTACATAATAAACACATTTAATTGAAGTTGGAAAAGCGCGTAGGTATGTCCATAGCCCGTAAAAAAGTTATAATTGAAACAAATATAATACATTTTTTAAATCAATTAATTTTTAAAATCGTATTGTTTTTTTCACTAAACTTTCACCAAGCACCTGCGTACACGCTGGAACTATGCGAAAACTGGGAGTTACGCGGATTTCTTAACCAAAATTTAACACAGGGACATACGTCATTTTCTTGATGTAGTTTTGAGGCGGGAAATATTTTTGTGGCAGTTACGTGGATTTCACACTAGTTAGGTTTGATGTTTTTTTATTAGATAGCACTGAAAGGTCAATATGCCCCAAACGTGGAGTTACGCGGTTTTCTTACTAAGGCATATTATGCCTTAAAGCTACTAGCAAACCTAAAACCTGCAAAAAAAACTACAAATTTGCCATATTTTTCTTTTTTCACGAGTACACATTCTAGGTTATATTTATATTAGACAATATTTGAATACAGCTGATTATTGCATTCCAAGGAGTGACACATGTGTGGGATCTGTCAACTCTTGGTACCAGTCACAAAACATATACACTGAAGGTTTAATTCCATGCTATTCGATGACAACACGGTGACTTGTGTGGTTGGCAGCGGCCATTTTGTGAGGGTGCGACAGGTTTGCCAGATTGTGCATTAATATCCCGTTTCACCCTCCTGGTCCCAGTGGAGTAAGTTCCGCCAACTGTTGAAATATACTCTACTATGCTTTATAAGACTATTCGTGACATTTTTCCCAAAATAATTGCACAACACTTGAAAAAATGCAAATGAAAATTTAAAATTATTTCCATGACGCCACAAAATAGCTCCATCGGTACCTCGTGTTATACATCTTGACAGTAGGGATGTTCGATACGATTATATATTTAGAAGTATCAATACATTTCACGAGTATCGTCATCTTTCGATCCGGACTGTGTCAGAAAGAGTGACTATCTTTCATCATTTTCAGAGAAATTGTACAAAATCTTCAAATTTGTGAAGTTAGCGAGTTTCACTTCACACGTTGATACCAGACATGCCCAAATCATCAGTAGCTGCCGTGATATTCATCCCGACCACTGCATCCGCATGGCTAGGCGACCTGTATGTTAAATTTGTATTGATAGGGCAGCGGGTTATGCTATAAATCATATGTCACAGTTTTTGTGCACTGATTGCAACGGTTAGATGATACCAAAAATATTTTCATAAATAGGAGATCTCTCCCATTCCGAAACGAACAATCCACCAAAGATGCTTATAATCATGATACCTAGTAAATTTACATGAAAAATCCTCTGTATGTAGGTATAAGAGCTTTCTTATATTTCTTCATCAATTTGATGATACAACACATCTGCTAAAAATGATCATAATCAGGATAGTAAACTATGACGAAGGTCCACTGTATGTAAGAATTTTCAGATACTTCATTTGCAATTTGACAACAGACCATGACGGTGTTCACATTTTTCAAATATTCTTCAAGAAGTGTTATTAGTCTAGCTCCAACTATCATAAGTACTATGTTTGTATTCCTACTTTAAATTCAAAAGCAGCAAATGTAAAAGATTCATGTAGCACCCTTCACCACGGGACGTGATCGTCGTTAGACGTGGCAACCCTGCGAGTGACAGATAGATAACCCCACCAGCGAAACATTCTTACACATATTATCTGTGTTTTAAGATGGAGAGGACAATGTTTTTATTTAAAGCCCGATGGCGTAGCCAGATCGCCAGCGGCTCGTCGGTGTCCCCAGACCGTCCATTAGAGAAGAGTAATCGATCATTAAATGCCTCTTACGAAGCAATTTTAGTCCTAAAGATAGTTTCGGAACACTGTCACTGTCACTGGTTGACTGGTGACCTCTGATCCGTCAGAGGGTTCTGTACGAACAGCGGATTAGCTGTCGGCAAACAGTCAGAAACTGTACGATCAGGTAACATCTCTCTGATTCTGATTTTGACAGTCACCGACAAGTTACCGACTACTGTACGAACAAACCATATGAATACGGCAGGATCCGCGCACACATGCTTTGCCGATTCAAATAAGACACATCGCGATAGCAGTAGCGTACGATATATTTATGTGTTGTAATGTGATGTAATGTCGGACCTAGGATCTCCTGAGCGATAAGAAGAAAGTTAGTAAAGGGCCTTGTAAAGATGAAGGGCAAGGGGGAAGGGTATTGCTGGAACGTCATGATCTTGGAAACACAAAGTTTATCTATCCCATATAAAACAATTTTGGAGCCTCCTAAGGTGGTAGAAAAAAAAAGAATCTAAGATAGACCCTAACAACTATAGGCCTATAGCTCTGCTTTCTGCACAGAAACTCTGTTGGATGTTAATGTCGAGCGAGAAGAATACCCATCATACGGTCTTATACCCGAAGTTACGTCATGCATAGCATAGGGAACCCTTTGGAATGACGGCACTCGGGCGTTGGGGGGACGTCCATGGTGGAGTTGGCAGCATTTCAGCCTTAACGTTTATGTTATTACAATCGCATCTTAGCGGTTGAGAAGTTTTTTCAATCTGATTGGCCAGCATGCAGAAGAACCAACTGGTCATTACCCTGTGCCTAATTTTTGCATCGTGCTGGTCTTTAAAATTCTGAAAGGGCACGCTAAAATCTATCAGTGACCGTTCTCACTGAAACAACCGGCAGCCACAGCCTGAAGGCAAGGTACTCTGCACATTATTCATTTTCAAGCGTTGTCACCAAAACGACGACAATTTGACCATTTGCTCATTGGTTGCTGGCACTACCGTCGGTAGTCGGATTTCTGTCCACCAGTTGATGAAAGATGTCATTTGTGGATGTTATTGTGACACTTCAGTTAACGCTCCGATCTTATCGTCAAAAAATCATTGATCATCCGATAAAATTACTTTTCCATCGCGTTTCTGTGTTCTTTGAAGTGATTTAGTTGGAGCAGCAGCGTTGAAAACATTGCAGCAAAAAAAAAAGTTGATACATGAAGTGTGACCAACAAGTTAATAGTGTACCTGTGATCACTATACTCAACAAATATGTCTAGATATTATGTATTGGGTGTATTTGGTAAATAAAAAAACATATGTTGATTTATTGGTCTGGCTAAACGTTATTTATATGTTACGTATACGATTAGACAATTAAGGTTCTTAAGAATAAAATTAGTTTACTCATAGTCTGCATTCTCACTAGTAAGTAAATGCTTAGTGACTTTTCCACAACCTCAAAATGAGTCTACCAGCTGCTTAGAAGCTGCTATAGGTAAGAACGCAAAAGCAACGCAACTGAAGTCGAAATCGTGTTGAATGCTAGCTAACGTTTGGTTGCTTTTGTTGAGAACAGTGCTTTAGAAAACCGACCTTTGAGAACTTCCTGAAAGCTTTCAAGGTAAAACTACTACGAGGTTTGAAATTAAGTAATCAACCTAGGTTTCGATCTGACGGCACTGGAGGCGTCGGGCTAGGTGAGGAGACAGGGGAACATGTGATCCGCCGTCAGAACTACTTTGAGCTCACACGAATCATTTGATTATCTGTAGTGATTTTCTTGTGAAACAGTTTTTCTTATCGTGTTCTAAAAATGAGTGACCAGCTTTGAGTGCGTTATCAGGTTTTGATTCAGACTTGGGCACAGTACAACGGCAACTCTTGCTAAACAGGCCTAGATAGTGTTATCTCAAGAGTCCAGGTTTTTCGGTGGTTTAAGGCATTTTCAGAAGAAAGAGAGTCGATTGAAGATTAACCACGAAGTGGAAGGCCTTCATCTTCAAGGGTTGATGAAAATATTGACAGAATCCGGGATCTTGTGCGTTCAGATCGTCGGTCGACAGTCAGAATGATCGGATAAGAGTTAAATTCAGATGAAGAACTACTGGGTGTTGCATTAAGATAATGCTCATTGTCACACAGCAATGTCAATAAACGAGTTTCTGACCAGTAAAAACATTACTGTGGCTCCTCAGCCTCATTATTCATCTTAAGTTCTTGTGACTTCTTCCCGAAGTTGAAAAATAGCCTCACTGGAACTATTTTTCACAGACGAACACATTCAAACGGCTGTAACCGACCAGCTGAAGGCTATTGCAGTATCGGAGTTTTAGCACTGCTATAAGGAGTGGATGAACCGTCTCCAGCGCTGTGTGACTTCAGAAGGAAGTTATTTTGAGGGTGACAATATAAAATTGTAATTGTGTTTGAATAAAACGATTTAAAAAATCAGTCTCATCACTTAATTTATAGACCTAAATGATTTCACTAAGGCTATGGAAAACGAGCGGATCGCATGAGATTTTTGTCATCATAGCGTGCCCTGCTGGGAGGCCAATTCTTTTCAGTGTTCTCTTTCTGTCTGCTAATCTGTAGGAAAAGTACATGGAGAGCATGATTCCTATTTTAAGTGTTCAGCTAACTAGTGTTTCCTTTAAGATCGGAGCTACGTATTATCGAGATTACAAACAGACGTCCCTGACCCCCGCCTGCACGTCATTATCCTGATGCAAGTTGATATTAACAGTAACGGTACCTATCGCCATTAACCATTATATCTCGATTTACCAGCTTGGTGATCTTTCCGTATGGCTGTCATGAGTGCTGCCAGTAGAAATTGAAAGTGATTTCGGCGATGGGTCAGACAAGACAACCGAATACAGACGTCTCTTCACATGATAGAATCGTTGTAGCGAAACATTATTGACAAATACAAGGTGTATCTATACAAGGTATACGATTTGATAATATTGAAGAATATATGGTTTCGACATAGAGGGTCATTGTTGAGCACAATAGAATAGAATGCTCCATGGGGAATGGTGAAAATCATCAAAAGTGGACATTCCATTAATTACATGAGGCGTTGTTGACGATTTTCTGTAATCAACCCAACCCTCCCTCAATGAGAAGTCCCCCAACCCCTTATCTGAAGTGACATTTTCGAAAATTTGTAATTTTAGTTTTAAACTATTTAAACAACATAATTTTCGTCATTATTTTAATTAAATACTACTTCTTAATATTGCTTAGATCGTAGTCTAAGATCACAATGCTAACATATTTAAAATTTTTAAATGGGGTTACTAAAATTAATATAAGAATATTTATTCTAATTCCGTCTATGGAGACTCATGCACGATCTTAAGGATAACTATTGGAACCAACATACCAATGTGTTTTTCAGTAAAATCTTTAACTCCTTCAATTTCGCTCTGATTTAGCCACTCCAAATCGTTGTCCTTGCGCACAGAACTAATTCGTCTTGCGACAATCCGTGAGGGTCTAACTTTGCGCGCTTGCGCAGCTATGCATTGGAAGTCGTACTCCGATTCTCTGCAGCTTTTGCGATGGACGCAAAGTAAATAGTCAGACTTTGCCATTTTTTAGTCAAAAAGCATGTTTTACTTTAATGTAACCCAAATCCCTTGTTATTTTACACAGCTTTTGCGTGGAAATTGGGGTGATATATGTCGATACCCCGCTCTCCGCGTGAGACTAGGTGATACTTCCTCCACCCTTGAACTCCTCACGTAATTAATGGATGCTTCCCAAATGTTTCACCACAATGCATGTGCACCGACATAATTTTTTCTCAGGGAGAGGAGGCGATCATTGGCAATAGGCAACTCTTGAAGAGCGGGAGCTGGCAAATTTTCTCAACAGGGGCCACATCCCACTATTGCACACATCATGCTAAATATGCAAATTTTTAGGGCCACCATCCTCACTCTCATAAGGCTAAATTCGTCTTTAGACGTGATAATGATGAACGATGGCCAGACTTCCGCACTTTTTTTGAGAATGACCCGAGAAGCGAGTCTTCTATCAGTGTTCAAGAAAGTGAATAGAACCACCCTCACTTTCTTTAAGTAATTCTACTCAAACATTCCCATGAAATGATCTCTAGGATAGATGATATAAATAGGCGAAAATGTTCTGGAAGTAACACATGCCTGTTTGAAGAAGAATTCTCAATAATTTTCATCCGATTATTTCGCACAAAAAACACCCTCATCATTTTTTTGTATAAAATTGCATTTTTTGTGCATTTTTTCTTCATTCTTATCTTATTAACAATAGTACAGCGATGAAATTGTATGTGAATATTCCAGTTTTATAGTGGAATTGAGCGACATTTTTCTTATGCTTTTCTTAAATATTTGCTTTTCTCGAATACTCATCTTGCAGTAAAGTTCCACTATAAGAGTGGAATATTCACATACAATTTCAGTGTTGTACTATTATTTCTTAACAAGTTACTATTTAAGAAATAATGCATATAAAATGCACTAGAATGCAATTTTTTACAAAAAATAAATTGATGTCATTGCATTTCAGTCATCTCTTCACGCACCGTGAACTAATCAAATGAAAAGTATTAAGAATACCCCTCCAAACAGGCTGTTGAAAAAAGTGATGTATTTTCTTGAATCATACGAGAAGCACTTCATCATTATGCCATTGGTTTTATATAAACGAAAAGATGTACCTACGGGGAGTTTAGTTAAATGGGAACTAAGTTGCGAATACGAGTATAACATGCCCGAGACTATGGCGGAAGGTTAGACCAAAAAACAGTTTTGTTTTCATTTTTTTCTGCCTTTAATTGAGGTGACATTTCAAAATTGGCATAACAATAATTATTCTCTTCAAATGTGACGTCCCTGCTTAATTTTCAATCCGTTTTTCGTCTTTGATGTTAGATTTATTGTTTTTTATGGATTTCATGGGTGAATTTTGCTGGCAATATATCATACTATGATAGCGAGTGATTTAAATGGGTCTAGAACCTAACGTTCAAGTAAAGTATATTTACACATTATTGGTGGATAGATAAAGTAAAATGCAAGTTCGTTGGAAAAAATGTTCCCATTTAGATTTTTCATAACTATCATAGTGCAGGGCTCCAGAAAAGTATCGACTGTCTTCTGTGTGAAATGTAATCAGACACATAAGTAATAACCAACCACTAACAACCAACTCATCCGATCATTTTTCTTTTATTCTGCTAACCATTCTGATCAAAAAGGAAGTACGGCTGATCAAGTTCGAATTAAAATAATTAACTCAGTTAACTGCGAGTGCGAACTGCACCATTCGGTGTCTCTCGCATCCAACCTTCCACCTTCGCTTATTCTGCCAATCATCTCACATATTCCCGTCCTGAGAAGACCAATATCTGTTTAACTGCTTTCCTACTATGGTATCTAACAATTAAAATAATCATAACTTCAAAAATATATACCTGGGGTCACCACCAAGTGCTTGAATTGGAGTTTCAACGTTCTTCCACATAATCTTGATGAAAAACGGTGCATTTTATTTTAAAGCATCAAATTTTATTCTAATTATATGTACATTACATTGCGTTGGGTTTAGCGGGTTACTCATGCACCCAAATACAAACGCATGTATTTAAATCATCCTGATCCTGAGATTTTGAGGTTATTCCATTGACTTCTACAGACATTTGAACAATGTAGGAGGGTTTTCGGGAAAGTGAATTTTGACTAGGAGTTACGACTGTGCGCCGTTTTCGCCCTGTCTAGGAGGCACGCGTACACAACAGTCATTTTATCCTTTCATCTGCCGATCGTCTGCTTCTGTTGGATGGTATTTTGCAACCAGCTTACCTTCGAGACATCGCCATCATCGGCCCGACCGTCGATGATTTGATGGTGATAATATAAAAACCCCTCCTACGATTCAAATGGCCGTTATACCGTTTATGCGTACCGTCGCTATAGCACCTCGCTAAGAAATTTTGTGCGTCCGCCGAAGCAACTGAACCAGATCTCCTCCGCCAGAGGGCTGGAGAGGGAATCCCAACATGGTATGTAGCCGATTACCAATTTTGGGAGAATTGTGGTATGGTAAAATCTCTGTCCGTATTTTGTATTATAGTGATACTAGAACAAATAGTCAAGTGAATTCTCTCAGTATTTACCACGAATTCTAAAAATTCTTTTGATGTAATATAATACATGGCACTAATGCGAAATTTTTGAGCTCCCTAAAAGTGTTTATGGCTACGCTCATAAGTGAACAAAAAGATGAAAGATGAAGTCCCGAGTTTAAAAAGACGTTCAAATATCTTACTTCCACAAAATGAGCAAATTCTAAACAATGTGGGAAAAATATTTGGCAACGTTTTTTTTTTGTTTTTTGATAACTTTGCTATCATTAGACTGATTTGCAACACTAACAAGTTTTCTTTGGCATGAAGTAATATTGTGTCAAAATTTCGTCAAAACAAGAGCAGTACCTTCGGGGTTATACCGTGGCATGCTTAATTATTAATTTTACTATTTTGTGATGATGTAACATCAGAAAAAACTTAACATACCAATTTAGAAATTTTCCGTGATTACAATACCTCTTCGACAATAGGCGCGGGACGTAAAATCGACTGAATTGGTACTTTACATGCGTTTGAAAGCATATCAGCCCCCAAAACATTACAACATTTTGATGAGCGGTGGATAGACATTAGTCAGATGGCTTCTATCGGGGTGCTAGGGGTTCCTCTAAAACTCTAATTTTGCTTATTTGGAAAGATTTCGGGTACTACCCACCACCATAACCCCCCCTCCCCTCCCCCAGGGAATAAATGCTGCTGGCGCCTATGTGATATGTCCAAAATATCAAAATATGTAGACAATTTTGTATGACGATGATTGAGTAAATGTGCAATGTTCTGACAACGTATTCCTAGAAATCGCTGTTGGGGGTCAGTAATCTCCGCTATTCCGTCTTTACGCTATGGTCAACAGGGACACGTGTGTAGGGCTCCGGTTTGATGGAGGCCCCAACTGCCCAAAAATGAAACTAGACGACAAAAAATGCTATGACCTTCTAATCATCAGCGACGTGTCAAGTTTAACCAAGATGTTAGATTCAAGCATTATCACGACAATTCCAAATTGCAAAAATCTATTATATCACGATAAGCAGGTATTTCTCGATATACAAACTTCTTATATATACCTGGAATATTGGAATGTTGCTTTCATATCTGATAAGCTCCAACCCGGCAACTGTATCAACGTACGATCTCACATGACTTGTCTTTCGAATACCATCTCGTCAATCTTTCATTGTCGAACAACCAGTAACCTGACAGTTTCCTGCCGATAAATCAATGGAATTAGTTCCTCTGAGACTCCATGATCTGGTTGCCTTTAGGTTAGCATCAAGAAGCTCTTTTCACATTGTCACTTATTAAATTATGTTCTGCATTTCTGAGCATAAGTAACACAAGATTTACTTATGTTTTTTACATATGTAAACACATTGAGAGCTACAATAAATCTTTGTATACTATGAAAAAACTCCCGGGGTGCATCAGTTTTTGTATTGAAAATTAATGTAGCAGTCCTAACAGAGTGATAAATTCATACCAAAGTCATACATCACAATCATGTTAAAATGGGAAAGCTCACAGTCGTCTATAAAAAGTAGTGTCTCCTTCAGTAGGATTGGCACGAATGCGTGCTGGGATCTACTTTGATAAAATATAAAATTATGTTAATGCTACCAAACATATTTATCAAGCTCAGCGATAATTTACTACTGAAATCATACAGTTTTGGAGATAATATTTTATAACACTATGATCATAAGGATGAAGAATGTATTTGTTTAGATCAGCTAAATAATATAAACATTCTTCAGATGTACATGCAAGGCTATCGATCGGTATATAAATTATCATAAAGGATTTCCTGTAATTATTTCACGAAAATGTTCGATTAATACTAATATAAAATTTACAAATAAACCCTGTATTGGCTCTAATTAAAACTAATAAAAATGTATCCTCAAAGATTGGTGAAGACATTTTACCCAAATGGTAAAAAAGAAACAATAATTTAGGTACGTTCCATTGCATCAGTTGACTAGACAGTATTCCAGTCTTCGGAAAAATAAATAATTGATAATTTCGAATACCGATCAATGTTCATATATACTCATATTAAATGATTATTAGCAGCTTTAATGAATTTTCGGGCAATCGCAGTCAAGTACCTAATACGCAAGCAGTAACATTGCATCACCGGTTGTACAACCAACAGTTGAAACTATACAAATGATCCCGTAAATGGAGTGAAGCCATAGGGCAATGACAATACTTTGTGAGCTGTACTGACTGCAATGGGTACCGCTCTTATGCGAAATATTTAAGAAAATTAATGACATATCTTGTTGTATATATATACTAAATTCAGTATCTACACGTTATGGTTACACTTCTACTGTTATACTATTGAACCTCTGTACTCTGGCAGATCTTTTTAGATAATTTGTGGGGGGAGGGGGGTGATGACCTTATGACAGTTGAAGAACGCTGCAATATAGGCAAATTTTCTTGAAAAAAAAC